GGGGGGGCAGTGCAGGCTTCCAGCAGCTGTGGTTACTGGGAAACTGAATGGACCTGATCACGATCCCGGGGCAGGACAGTGAGTGCAGAGCACCCCACAGGAGCTCTCCCACCAGGCAGACAGTGCAGACACTGGCCCTGAAACCCTCCTCAGTGGAGTTACTGGGAGGGGAGACGCATTCTCTCCCCATGAAGTAGCCTAAGACAGCTTTTCCCTAGGAGGAAAGAGGGTGGCGGAGTGGGAAAAGGAAGACCTCATGGGCAGCAGCAGATGAACCTGTCTCCTCAGGCTCTTTCTTCTCTCCTGCTACAAGTAAAGGTGCTGACTGGGGAAGGCACAGCCGGGGTCCAAGGCAAGACACCTTCTCCTGGGAAGTTTTTGATGATATAATCCGTTACATTCGAGTAGCACTTTATAAAATGCTTGCACACAGTTTCTCATCTGACCCTCATGACAAACTGTGAAGGGCCGAAGGCAGTGAGCTAAAACTTCACAGTTCAGACGAGGCCCTGAGGTGCTGTACGGTTAAACCACCCAGCCTGCATCCACAGCTGCTCGGTGGGAATTACAGTCGAACCCAGGTTCCAATTTCACCGTTCACTCGATTTTGGAATTGTGGATGGGAAGGGGGCCACATACCAAACCTGACAAGCTCAGAGGAGGCCTGATGGCGGCCTTGCAAACTCGAGGACCTAAAGTAACCACACAGAATGGTCTGAAATTAAAACTTCCTAACTAAAAGCAAGTCATGGTGGGCAGTCATGTTCTAAGCTGTTATTTTCCTTGACAAAGGTCATCTTTACCTAACTGAGCATGTCTATTGTCTTTTTGCATCTACGATGACGTATCTTTGGAATGCCAGAGTAACCCTCCTTTTCCAGACTCCTGAGGGCACAGTCTCCCACCAGAGCAGAGACCACAGGATCCCTCATTGTGTTTTCTCCCACACACCATCTCCATGTGCTGTAAATGTTGTTACTGTCCCATACCCACCAATGTAAAAGAAATATGTGTCTGATTTACTTTGTATCCAGTCCCAGAGGTCTCCCCACTGTGCCTTCTCCCACCTCCCTAATCTACCACCAACGGAGTTCATGTAACCCCCTTACATCTTCTTTCCGGTGTGTAAAATAAATGGTAAAACTGCCATTTTACGGAGCATTTTCCTCAATCTGGCGGTTGACATCTGTTTGGACGTGTCTTATCTCTACAAAATTATAGACTGTTTCTGACTTACAATGGCTCAACTTAATGATATTTCGACTTTAGCATGGTGTGAAAGCAATAGGTGTTGGTCGTTTCCCAGGCTGGCGATGTGTGGCACGTGCTCCCTCATGATACTGGCAGTGGCAGCGAGCAGCGGCTCCCGGGCAAGCACGGGATCGGGGGGGTAGGCACCCGGTGCTCTACAGTGCAGTGCTCGTAGCAGGCTGAAGTTTAGTGTTCAGTAGGATAGGTGTATCAGTTTATTTTCAACATGGTATTTCCAACTTAGGGTGTGTTTATTGGGACATAATCCCTAGTAAAGAAGTCGAGGAGCGTACGTAGGTACTTGGCAGTGCCATTGCAGGGGCATTCGGCTGTTGCCTGCATGTCCCAGAGGGGGCATTGCAGGGCAGCAAGGATGCCTGGCTGGAGAGTGGGGTCTGTTGGCATACCCCAGCCTAGAAACCTCTGCCACCAACCTGTCATTCCTAATCCTGCATCAGCAGCACCCTCGGACAGGAGAGGTGCCCCTAGAGTCTGGTAAAGCAGGGGGGGCTCCTAGAACCCCACCGGTATTGTTCGCAACCCTTCTGGAGCTGGACTTGCATGTACAGATGTGGTACGACTGGCATGTTTGCTTGTCCTAAACCCACAGCACTAAAATGAGATGCTATTAATCTCCACCA